GCTGAATTACTTTTCCAGTCCCCTGGCAGCTTTCTCCCAACTGCTCCCACCACTTCCGAAAGTCTGCGTGATTTTCCTTCGACCTGAAATCGAAATCCAGCCACTTTACTACATTTTCCTAAGCCCTGGCGCTGGCCTGCATCAGCTCGAGGAAAAGCAGCCTTTTCATAATTCCTCAGCCCAAGGGGGGCGTTTTATTGTAATTCATCCGCTCACAACTGAGATAGGATCTTGTATCTTCCACAAAGGCACTGTATGTATTACTGGGTTCTTTACCTACCAAGCCTTTTGCAAAAGACCTTTCGTTCTCTCCCAGCCCGGTAGCTCCTTGCCTAGGCCGTAACCCCCGCCCCGCCCCTCTCACCTCTCCAAGTGCCCCAGGAGGTGCCCCCGCACAGCTCCCCCAGGCCGGAAGGTGCAGCTCATGCAGGTGAGGAGTTGCCAGTACCGCAGGGTCGCAGGGTCTTGGGTAGCTGGGAGCCCGGGGGGGCCTGCAGGGCCCGAGGTCTGCTTAGCCAGCTGCAGGAAGAGTTCATCCCGGAGCGCGGGCAAGTCCCGGCAGGTTTGGAGCACACCCTGCATCAAGGGCCCGGGGCGCCGCGCCCCCTCCAGCGCCTGCAGCGCCAAGAACAGCCGCACCGCCTCCTCGCGCAGGGGTGCATAGCCCGGACCTGTGGGAGGGTGGGGGCGGAGGGACGGTTTGGAAAGGGGACACAGAGCTGCGCCCTGGGAGGAAGGTATGAACCAGGGGAAAGTCAGAGGGAATATAAGGGGATGGGGTGGCAGGGAGAGGAGGGTACGAACGACAGGAAGAGTGAAGGGAAAGCAGTGGTCCCACGAAGCCAGACTCTTAACCTCTGCCTCCCAGGAATCCCCTTCCCAATCCCACTAAGCCTGGATTTGGACTTAGGGAGAGGGACGGCTGAAGGGCTGTAGATTCACACCCCAGATTCTGTAACTGGATACTGAGGCTCACCACCATAGGTCAGAAAACAGGATGGACTAGGAGTCAGAAAACCCGGGTTCCTCTCCCAGCACCCTTTAATCCTCTAACTTTAGGACCTGGGCCAGTCACTAAACCATTTAGGGAGAAGTACAATTGGATGAGGCCAGCACGTTCTATAAAAGTGGTAGCTTTTATACCACTTGTAAAGGTAATATGGCATGGTCTCAAGAGTATAATGAAAAAATAGGAGAGTGTACAAACTCCTGAAGGAAAATCAGTAGTCAGAATGAAAGCCATAGAGAAGGTGGTCAAAGAGGACCCTTTTGTGGGTGCTGGCTTCCTCCCCTCCACCCTGGCCAGCTTCCAGTTTCACCTTCATCCTTTGAAAAGTGAGGAACTGGCAGGCCCCTAAAGGATGCTTAGGTCCCTGCCAGTTAAGGGATTCAGATTCTTACCTCTGATCCACCCCATCCCATCCAGGGGACTTGGGCCATGGGACCACTCACCTGGGGCGCTGACTCCGTAGGGCAGGGGCAGGAGCGGGGCGTACAAGGCTCCACTAGTGTGTCTCAGAATCGGGTTCCGCAGGTAAATGAGGGCAACTGCCTCTGGGTCCCCGCAACTTTCCTAGGGGAACAGGGAGAGGGTCACCTTGATGAGGAAGGGAATTCCTCACAAGCCCAGAAAGCTTTGGGGTCCACCACTCTCCTGGCTCTCCCTGGTGTCCTCTCTTACCTGTATGTCCCTGAGCAGTAGCTGGGTGGGGGTCTCCAGGGGTGCCTTGGAGGCAATCACTTCCCGCAATGCCACCCCCCAGCGCTCAGCCTCCGCCTGGCGTGGGGAGCAGAGGCTGACACTGTGTTTCCGACCAGACACAGTCACTGACCACAGACCTGGGGAAAAGAGAGGTCGGAGAGGGCCATTAGGGTCTGCTGGGGCCCCTGCCCAGGAAGGTAAGAGAGTCCCCAGGAGGTCTCACCTGTCTCCTTACGCCTGCGCTCTGGGCCGGTCACCGAGCACAGGCTGGTGAGCACCAGGCTCCCGAGACGCCGCGCCCCCTTCCCGCTACTGCTGAACTGATCCAAGGAGTCCCTCGTGAGCACAAACCAGGCTCGGCGCGGGGGCAGCCAGGGTCGCGCCCCTCCTCCGCGGGGCTCCCGGTACAGCCAACCTGGGGGCAGGAGAGGGAGGGAAGGAACATCAGTAGGACACATATTCTCTGGAGGGTTGGGATTGGGGACCTCCAGAGTGCACTGAGGGGGTCTCTACCTTTCACAACGATGTCTGGGTCGTCCTCCGGCAGCCCTTTCTCCGGGATGAGGCTCCAAGTTTCCTCCCAGCTCTGCAGCCTGGGCCAGAGGGGAGGGAGGGTTGGGCCTCCACTCCGCCTCTAGGGGGCTCCTCTGTAGGGGCTCCCCAGACCGCAAGGGTGTCTGCTCCCAAGCTGGGCACCCCTCCCCCAGGCTGTGGGAACCGCTGGGCCATTCTGACCTCGCACCAGAAATAGCCCCGACCCCCCTCTTTCTCCCCGCGCCCCCAGCCGGACCTCCCCCCCCGGGACCCCAGCCAAACCACAGCGTCCGGCGTAGGGCCTCTCCCTTATTGCGCAACCGCTAGAGGAGACAGTGAGGATGGGGGTCCCAGGAACAGGCTGGGGTCTCGAGACTGTGGGACGTAGGGGCGTAGCTCACCTGTTGGAGACAGGCCCGCTCCTCACCGGCTGAGTCAGCGTCACTTCCAGGGGACCCTGCGGAGACAGGCGGGGAAGCCCTTAGGGTCAAAGCCCTTCCTGTGCAAGGTTCGTGCCTTCTGCCCTCGGGACAGGGCTGCTCAGGGGATTGAGGAAGGAATCACAGAGTGGGGTCGTGACTGGGGTGGAGAGCGCTGGAGCCGCTGGGCTCGCCCCTCCCGCCTATCGCAACAGGACAAACTCTCCAGAACAGCAGGAGCTAAGGAGCCAAGGCTCCTCTCAGTCACCCTTTGAAGATACAATCAAGGGTAGGGTAGGGTGGAAAGAGCACTGGGCAGAGAGTCAGGAGACCCGGGTTCCAATTCCCGCTCCACCACTAACTCACTGTGGAACCTTGGGCAAGTCTCTTTCCATCTCTGGGCCTTAGTTTCCCCATCTTTGAAAAAGGAGAGGTTAGCTCGCTCTGCCAGGCTCCAAGGCACCCTCTCCTCCTCGTTTTCCCTTCTCTCACACTGCCTCCCTGGCCAAGGCAGGACAGGTGGTAGGCACAGAGGTGAATGAAGGGCAGAGGGACCCTTTCAGTATAGGGCTTTCTCCAAAAGCGTCTTACATTCTCCCATAGACTCTCCTGAGACTCAACCGTGAGCAGAGACCCTGCCGCTTTTCTGGGGCTTAGGAAGGGCGGGCCAGACTGAGGAATGGCACACCCTCTGGAGGCAGGTGTAGTTCAGGGTTTTGCCCTCCCCCTCCCCCTCCCTTCCCCCTGTCCTGGAACTTCAACTGTAGACTGGGGTCTGAGAGAGGCCACAAACCCAACCCGGAGGCCAGCCAGGCGGGAACCGTGCCATCCTCATATTGCTCCCAGACTGCTAGTGCCAAGAGGGGGAGGTGGGGGAGGGGGCCAGGGACACCTGTCCCCAGACTCCAGGAAAGGGGGAGTTGAGGTGGAGCATGAGGGAGGCAATGGCCTGGTAAAGCCGACCCTGCCCAAGCGGGAAGCTTGGGGACGCCTGGGTCCTGCGACTTTTCTATGTGAACCTCTACCTATTTTCTGGAAGGTCTGAGTGGGGCTATCAGCCACACCACATGTGGCAGGTACTGACCACCCTCTTAGGCTAACTCCCCTAATCGCAGTGCCCTGCTTCCCTCCCTCCCCCCCTCTATATTTATCCACCCTCCGCCTCCGCCAGGTGCTGGCGCCGGCCCCGGCGGCGCAGCCCGCCCCACCCGGGCACCGAGCCACTGGGCCTGCTGCGGACCCCTGTGCGGGGGATGGGAGCCTGACCTGGGCCACAGCACACGGGAGTCTGGCCGCCAGTGTGCAGGGGGGATGGGGGAGGAGACGTCAGGGGATGGAGGTCTCCCACACCAATCGTGCCTCCGTTTCCCCACGGGGAGATTCGACAAAATCAGGCAGCAGCCCAGTGTCCCTCACCATCCATTCCCTCAGGGGTTTCCCAGGAGCCTCACCCGGGAAAGCCGAGAGTTCTGTCCTGAATGGCAGGGTAATGAGGAGGGGTCCTCAAAGAGCCCCCACCTCCTTCTCCGTGGGGTCCCCGCCACAGACCCCAATCCTGGGATGACTTCTCCCCCTCGCCCAGGTCTCCGCAACGGGAGCTCTCGCATCTGGCCTCAGCGCTTGCGAACTGGGAGCGGAGGGGGACCCAGGCGTTCGAGCCGCCCAGCCGGCCTCGCCACATTCCTCGGCGCTGGCGGAGGCGGAAGGAGACGGGATGGGACGCGGGCCCAGCGGGGAAGGGAGAGGCAGGGCCAGGTCGGGCCACGCGTGACGCCTCCCCTGCCTCAGGGCCCCCAGCAGGTGGACAGCGCCCAGCCTGCGGCGGGAGGCCCACAGGCACATCCCGAGTAGGGCTGCTGCTCCGAGAGCTCCCGGGGGCTTTGGCCCCCAGGCAAAAACCTCTCCTAAGTCCCTAGTTCGCCAAGCGCGCAGCGTGTGGCTGGAGGCTGGAGCGAGTTCCACGGTCGGTTACAGAGAGAGTGATTGAGACGAGGCTCCGAACCCCCCGGACTTACCCTCCCGCCGCCCGCTGGACTCGGGGTCCGTAGCTCAAAGGTTTCCTCGTCCTCGTCCTCGTCCCCGTCCCCGCTAAGCTCGCCGTCCCCGTAGTCCCGGTGCAGAAGAGTGAAGCCTCGACGGCAGCAGAGAAGCCACCACAGTCCCCCGGGGAGAGGCATCCGGGCGAGGAGCCGGGGATGGGGGCGCGGGCAGCCGCGGCCGAGCAGCAGGGGGTCGGAGGAACTGGCGGGGCTCCGACCCCAGCAGGGGAAAGATGAGGTGGGAGGAGCAGGAGGGAGAAGAGCACAGGGAGGAGGCAGTGTCCTGGGCTGGGGTGCAAGGGGACGCTAGCCAGACGCTGAGGGGGGCTCAGTGTCTGGGCCCCCGGAGGGGGGAGGGGGAAAAGCGTCCAGGGCCCCGGGAGAGGAGGGAGCAATGTCCGGAGCTGGGAAGTAGTGTCCGTTGGAGTGTCCAGCCCTGTGGGGGGCAGTGTCCGGTGCAGCGTCCGAGGTGGGCAGTTGTCCAAGCTCCAGGGAGGGTCGTGTCCGGTAGGGCGTCCGGTGGCCGGGGCCCGGGCCGCGCGCGCTGCGCTCCCTGCAGCCCCGGGACTGGCGCGCTGGGGGCGCGAGCACAGAGCTGGGACCCCGCCCCCCCAGCCCCCTCCCTCCCGGGGGCCCCCCCTTCTCTCTTCTTTCTCTCCTCCCTTCTTTACTAGGCAGGGTCCAGGTTTCGTCACAGCCTCCTCTGTCCAATCCCTGTGCCTGGCGCCGGGCGCGGCTACCAATCAGACGGCTGAAACCGCGGTGGGTTGCATCATGTGCCCCTGGCTGGGTGACAGCGGGGAGGGGCGGGGAAACAGGGAGGGAGGGGACGAGGCGATGTTAGCCACGCCCCAGTCTCTGAGGTCGGACGCGGGGTGCTAGTGACGTCACGGAAGCCCGCCTTCAGGCTCTTGGTTTAACTCTTGGCTCACCAACCAACAAATTAAAATCCCTGTGAGGAGCTTTGGTACAGGACAGAGGAAAACCCAACTGTCGCTCTCTGAACCCCTGTCTCGTCTCAGGGTCCCTGAGAAAGGGAAACGCCTTGGCTACTAAGAGGATGTAGCTCTGGAGGTGGCCCTCCACGTCTGGGGAGGAGTCCAGTTTCTCGAGTTTCTGGGTCTGATTCAGCTCTCCCCTGTCCTTTTTTTTTTTTTTTTTCCTTCCACACAGGGTCTCGCTGTTTTGCCCAGGCTGGGGTGCGGTAGAGCCATCATAGTTTACTACTCCTGGGCTCAAGGGATCCTCCCACCTCAGCCTTTCCAGGAGCTGGGACTACAGGCGCACACCACTATGCCTGGCTAATTTTTTAAATTTATTTTTTGTAGAAATGGAGCCTCACTATGTTGCCTAGGCTGGTCTCGAACTCCTGGGCTCAAGTGATCCTCCCAGCTTGGCTTTCCAAAGTGCTGGGATTATAGGTGTGAGCCACTGCACTTGGCCTCACCTCCTTTTTGAGGTGAAGCAGTTGAGGCAGGCACTGTGGGAAGGCGCAGACCTAGGCCAGAAATAAAATCGAATATAGAGCTCACAGCTCACCGAACTCAGCTGGGGAGAGAGACTTGAGATTCTAAGGAATTCTGTGGTCTCGGAACAGAGTGGAGGCCTCTTAGGGCGAATATCCTGCGGTTCTGTGTAGGAAGGGGTTAACCCAGGCGTTAGGCGGCCGGGGCGGGGCCGCGGCCTTCGCGGGCGCGCGCGCGTGTTGCTGACTCAGCGGCGATTCCCGAGATCTCTGATTGGGGGTTCCAGCTCGGTCCCCAGTGGCTTGCGTGGGGGACCCTTTGAGGATCGGCGCCGTCTCCGGGCCTTCCCTGGATCCTGGCCCCTAGAGGCCGTGGGGGACCTCTTTTCGCAGCTGCTGCCGGAGGCTCTGAGAAGGACTGCTAGCCCGGGCTGGGCTGGGCTGGGCGGGGAGGGGCGGGGCAGGGCGGGACGGGCGGGGCCATCGGGCCAGCGCCTCCCTTGAGACCTCCTCGCCACGCCCCGCCCTTCTCGACCCTAGACTCCAGGCTGGAGTGGTGGGGACAGCTTTGCTGACCGGTATTAAACCGCGAGAACTGTCGCACGTGAACACCATCCTGCCCGTTGTGATTGTGTAAAACAAAGACCAGGAATCAATGCGAGCAGGTTTAGAGGCCATCTCGGCTGTGGCCTCTCTCCAGATGAGAGTGGCCTGTACTGAGAGATTTCCTAGGAATAGAGATACCACAACCATCTTCCCGGTCTGAATCCCAGGCCCTTGCCTGCAGAGAAGTTTTTTCCCATATCCAACCTCTCTCTTTCCGGCCAGCTCAGTGCATTTCCTCTGACCCAGTCCCCAGAGAAGATGGAGAACAGCAAGTATCCCTCACCCCCACCACACCCATGATAACTACTCCGGAAATTTGCAGATTGCAATCCCTCCTAGGTTTTTCTTCAAGGTGAAAAACTTCAACTCAACTTTTAAAATTAATTTTTTCATTTTCCTTCCATCAGACACTAGGAAGGGATTGTAAAGTGGTAATGTAATCCAAATGCCCACCCAAAACGGGAATCTCTTGCCCCTCTCCCCCCTCCCTCCACACCACGCAAAGGCCCACAGCGTCCACGACAGTCTGAACATTCCAATAGCGGGAACTCCGTATTTGCTAAGGCAGCCATTACTGGAGAGCGCTCTGGTTGTTAGAAAGCTCTGCTTTACAGTATTGCAAGAGGAACCCGCGCCCCTCCTTGCCTGGCAGCTTTCCCACCTCACCTCTGTTGGCTGAGGCCGGGTGACGGTGGAGGGAGTGTCAGTGGCTAGAGCTTTAGCAGACTCAGCAGCCCCCTACCCCAACCCAGGCCCTCAGCGTCTTCCACTCAGAGAGCCAAGCGCTGGGGTTGAGGGGCGGGCGTGGGCGGGATGTTAACCCACCGGCTCTGCCCTGCCACAAATCACTTCCAAGTCGGTGACTCAAAAATAGTAACAGTTGTTGGGTTGCATCTAATTTCCATGTTATCGATTTAATGTGGCAAGGCACAGAGGTAGTCCCTTTAGGTCCCTGTCTCTTTCTCAGTGTCCCCCCACCTACTCCCCTTTCCCACAACCCTCAGCCTGCCCCCTCCTCTAGATTCGCAGCCCTAGTTGTCCCAGGAGAGACTGTGGGTCTCCGTGGGAGCTGAGCAGGAAGAAAGGCGGGGCCGGCGGGGGCAGCCGCGGCGGCGATGAGGCCCTGAGGGGCATCCCCCACCCCGTAGCAGCCTCCGCAGGTCCTGGCGGAAGCGCAGACCCAGGAAGGCGTAGAGCACTGGATTGAGGCCGCAGCGGGCGAGGGCCAAGCCGCTGGTCACCAGCAGTGCGACATCCTTGCGTTTGCTGGCGGGGCAGCTCCGCTCGCGCGCAGCCAGTAGATCGGCCGTATCCAGCAGCAGGGCGAGGCTGTAGGGCAGCTGCAGCACCACGAAGGCCGCCACCAGAGCCACCACGACGCGCAGCGCACGCCGGCGCTCGGGCCCCCTGGCGGCCAGCAGCGTGCGGCCCAGGAGCGCGTAGCAGGCTACCATGACGCCCAGCGGCAGCGCGAAGCCCAGGGCCACCTGCGCCACGGCGCTCGCCCCCTTCACCGTCTGCGTGAGGCCCTCGGGGAAAATGAGACGACAGCGTCGTTGGCCTTCCCGCTGCCCGTCCCGGCTGAAGAGGAGCGCAGGCAGCGCCAGGAGCAGCGACAGCAGCCACACAATGACGGAGACCAAGTGTGCGCGGCCGGGAGTGGAGGGCCGCGGCCCTGCTGGGAGCGCTCGCGCTATGGCCACGTAGCGGTCGGCGCTGATACAGGCCAGGAAGAGGAAGCCGGCGTGGAAGGAGGCCGAGTAGAGGCCAGAGATGGTGCGGCAGGTGGCACTTCCCAGACTCCAGCCCTGAAGAGCCCCTGCTGCCGCGAAGGGCAGAGTCAGGGCCAGCAAGAGGTCGGCCAGGGCCAGCTGGAGCAGGTGGGCGGAGGTGGGCGAGCGCGCTGCGCGTCGGGCTGCTAGGTGGGTGGCCAGGACCAGGCCATTGCCGGCCAGACCCAGCGCAGCCACGGTCAGGGAGACACTGGGTTGGAAGGCCCGGCTGAAGGCCTGGACATCGGCCTTGAAGCAAAGCTCTGGCAGCGGCTCAGCCGAGTATGCCTCCTCTTCATCCCCAGAGTAATGGCCCCAGGAGACCTGGGAGGGTCAAATGAGAGGCGGGATCTTATGAGACACATCTGACCACACCACTCCCCTGCCCACACATGCCTTCCAAGCTGAGAGCTCCTGTGTGGTCAGATGTAACAGTACACGGAGAGACATAAGCTCTTCTCCAGACTCTTCCTAGCACACCTTCAGCAGGCCTAGGCTTCTCTTGCACTCCTCCTATCTCTGCTTCCAGCTTTCTGGTGACCTTGAGCAAGCCACTTGCTCTTTCTAGACCTCAGTTACCTAACATATAATGTTGAGATTATAAATCCTGACCAGCCCACCTCTCAAGATTTGCTGTGAAGATGGCAATACGGATGGTAATGGCTGGGGAGAACCTGTGTTCTCCAAAGACCATAATACAGAGTTTGTATTATTGTTATTATTTATTATTATTATTATTGGAGACAGAGCCTTGCTCTGTCGCCCAGGCTGGATTGCAGTGGCACAATCTCGGTTCACTGCAATCTCTGCCTCCCAGGTTCAAGCGATTCTCCTGCCTCAGCCTCCCGAGTAGGTGGGACTACAGACGCCCCACTACAGACGCCCACTACCACGCCCAGCTAGTTTTTGTATTTTTAGTAGAGATGGGGTTTCACCATGTTGGCCAGGCTGGTCTCGAACTCCTGGCCTCAGGTGATCCACCCACCTCGGCCTCCCAAAGTCCTGGGATTACAGGCCTGAGCTACCGGACCCAGCCCAGAGTTGTATTATTAATAAATCCTAGAGCTTCAGTTCCCTTTGCAGCGCCCTCTCCTGGAATAATGCCCATATGCAGGCTTTTCCTCAGACCTGAGCCCTGCACTCCAACCTCGGTCTGGGGTGGGTTTCTGTTTGTCTTCTTTCCCTTCCCTACCCACCTTCCCTCTACCACCAATACCAGCACACTGAACCACTCATGCCAAGAGGGTCTCCGGGGTTGGGACTCAGGTTTTCAGGGCCCAGGTGGGACCCTGGACCTCTAGGTTCAACCCGCCTTTCCCCTCAGCCCTAGTCCCCGTCCCACAACCCCAGCCTCACACCACCAGCCCATTTATCTGGAGGACCCCTAGTCTGAGATAGTGCCAAGAATCCCAAATAAGCCATAGGATGGCACAGGCCTATTGCCAGGTGGAGAATCCCATTCCTTCCCTGTTTCCTCCCTCTCTGTAACCCCTCCCTGCCCCCACTCCCACCTGCTCTGTGGCCTCCGTTCCCATCTCTGGCTACACAGGTTTCTGAGGTATAGCCACAGGGGGTAGAAGTTAAACTACTAGAGGGACAGGAAGGAAGAGGCGGGGAGAGGGGCCGAGAGGGAGGTGGGGATTAGGGTCTAGGGGGTCACTTTCCCATTCCACATCCTCCAAAAGACTTCACTCTCTTGTGCAGGATCTGAATTTTATGAAAAAAAAAAAAGAAAGAAGAAAGGAAGAAAGGAAGGAAGGAAGAAAGAAAGAAAGGAAGAAAGAAAGAAAAGGAAGGAAAGAAAAAAGAAAGAACGAAAGAAAGAAAAAAATAATTTACTGTCTTTACTCTGTCAGTGAAGAAAGAATGGACTTCGGAATATAATCATTTGCTGTATGATATTGACTCAGTTTCTTGACCTCTCTGAGCCTGAGGTTTTTCATCTGCAAAGGGGAGTAAGGCAAAAATCCTAAATTCATAGTGCCCAGCACCACTCCTAGAGCTTAATTTGCCTTCAGAAATGTTTACTTACCCTTCATTCCATTTCCAGGCACCCCGCCCCCGCCACCACCTCCCTTTTCTTGAAATTTTCAGGATGCTTCTGGCCCTAGGTTCCCTATCCTCACCCCTGTGGCCCTAGTCCCGGGCAGCCTCGGGTTACTTGGGGTTTTTTCGGTGGCTAGAGGCTCTCTACCCCCGCCCTTTCGCAGCAGGGCTGAGGCACGCGCTTGCGCGGGGTCCGGGAAACCGGCGCGTGCCAGGAGACAGAGGCTGGGGAAGGGGGGAGGTGAGAGGAGAGAGGGTGGAAAGGAGAAGAGAGAGCGGAGGACCAGGAACGACAGCGAGAGAGAGAGAGAGAGAGAGAGAGAGAGAGAGACAGCGAGAGAGAGAGAGAGAGAGAGAGAGAGAGAGAAGAGAGAAGAGAGAAGAGAGAGGAGAGAGAGAGCGCTTGGGGGCGAAAGGAAAGAGGGAGGGAGGGGTCGGTAAGGAGGAGAGAGCCGTCTGCTTCAAAAGCCAGGAGAAGAGCTTGGAGCCCAAGCCAGAACTCGAGCCATAGCCGGAGCCGTTCACAGGGAGGCGGCTGCCGGGACCGTCAGCCCTGCATGATGCGTCTCCGGCTCTTCTGCATCCTGCTTGCCGCGGTCTCAGAAGCCGAGGGCTGGGGCTACTGTGAGTGTTGGGCTTGGAGGCAGGTGGGGTTGGGCCCAGGTGTCCAGAGCCTGCAGGGCGGCCCCGCACCGCATTGCGGCTGGGTGGTCGCGGGTCCTTCCCGGCCGGCGCGCGCCCGCTGGCTCTCATCTTTTCCTCTTTTCCTGCCTCTCCCCCGCGCTCCGCATTGCAGCTCTGAGGCTGCCGCGCGCGCCCGGGGGCTGGGGCTGGGCTCCGGGGCGAGGATGAAGTCAGCCGGGCAGGGATTTGGGGATGGGATCCAAGCAGGAGCTGGTGACTGGGTTTGAGGCTAGGGCTGGGGGATAAGTGTATACTGGTGACCGAGACTAGGATTAAGGTTTTTCCAGGGCTTGAGGCTGGACTTTGGAGCTGGCCAAGGAGTGGGGTTTGTGGCTAGGGCTGGGGTTTGTGGCTGGGGCTGGGTTTTGTGGCTGGGATCCAAGCAGGAGCTGGTGCCCCTGACTGGTGCTAAGGCTGGACATGGAGCTGGTGATGGTGCTAGAACTGGCTGAGGTTGGGTACAAGGCCTGTATTTGGGGATGGTGCAGGTTTTGGGGGCCGAGTGGGATTGAGGCTAGGGTTGGAGCTGGATTGGTGTCTTGGGCTGACTTAGGTTCTGGAAGATGCTGA